TTGATGATTTATGTGATGACCTAAGGTGGGTTGTTACAAAAGCGGTGCTAAGGATGAATAACAAATAATGAAAATAAAAGTTAAATGTTAATGTCCAAAACTAAAATGATATTTTGCTCCAAAGTATAAATATGAATTAATTAATAATTAATGATGAATAATATTTTATAATATTAATCATTAATATTATAAAATTTAATGATTAAATTGCAATTGCAATTTAACGGACCCCAACAGAGCGCCAAAACACAAAAATTTTACCCCTCTTTTCTCTCTAGGTTTCCACCTTCCTAACTTTCTCTCTTCCTTCTCCACCCTTTCCTAATTCTAATTCCTCCATTCTCACTCCTTTCGCCATGTCCAACAGGTAATTTTTCAAACCCCTCTTTTCTTCTTTTTCAATTTCAATTTCCGTTTCACCGATTTTTGCTTCGATCTCCTCTCATGATTCTTCGATTTCTCTTTTTTTTTCTTCTCAGTTTGTTTATTTATTTTTTATTTTTATTTTTTATTATCTGGGTCGCGCCTTTCGGTGCCGAAACAGACAAAAAAAAGGGGAAAGAGGTTTGTGTTGTCGTTGTTGTTTGGTGTGTTGAGATTATTAACTTTTTTCTGATTTTTATGCGTTTGAACGGCTGTGTTATGGATTTTATAAGTTTTTTTTTTGTGCCAGTTTTTTCGTTTCGTTTCTCGTTTTTTGTATTTAGAAATGTTATTTTGTTTGAAGCGTAATGTGATTAGTTTTCTGTTAAATTGGGTTGGGATCGTTGGTGACTTGGTGTTTAATGTGAACAAGGTGAATTTTGAACTTGAAGTTTGGTTTTTTTATATTTATATGCTAATGTTTCATTTTAAGTGACTTGAAAATTGTGTGTTGGGACGTGAGGATTATGCACTCATATGTTTTGTAATTTTTTTTCAATCGAATTTGTGTAGACTCCTTCTGTGTTTTTTGTTTTTGATCAGCTAGACTCTTTCTTGATTGCTTGTTCAGAATTTATTAATTAATTTATGATTCATGAATTGTCTTAGGGTTTGCAAGTTCTATGCGCGAGGGTCATGTTTGAAAGGGGACCAATGTGATTTTGCTCATGAGAGAAAGGATGATGTAAGTTGGTACTCTAATTCTGATTATCACATACTATGTTTATCCCCAATGGTTTTTTTATGGATTCTCTGACTTTTGTTTCTTATGTGGAGAACAGGTTTGCAGCTATTATCAAAAAGGATTCTGTGCTTATGGTAGTAGATGCAGATATAGGCATGTCAAAGCTTCGCAAGCGTCATCTTCGGCAAATGGTCATGGACGCCATTCTCCTGTTTTGGATTCTGTTGTGAGTCATACTGCCAAAGGAACTTCAAGTTGGGTTCCAAAGGCCGTTAAGTCATCTTCAGGTGAATTAATTTTAAAAACTCTCACCTGTAGTTTTGATTGATTTTATTTTATTTTTTTGGCAAGATTCATAGAAATATGTTGGAGAATTGACTGGTAATTTGCCTTTGAATTTTCTTTTTCTTTCTTTATGGGTGAAATAATTTGGCCAGGATGATATTTAAATTTGCTTTTGTTGCTGTTGCTTTACTTAGTTAGATTTTTTGTTGACTTATCAATATATATATTAGAACAAGCCGGTCTGAGTTTATTGTGAGTGTTAACAAGTATCCTGAAGCTTAAAGTCATAAACTTTTTGTTGGGATGAGATTCAAAATGAGATTCGAGGGCGATGA